TTGATGCCTAAAATCTAAAAAAACTGCCAATCTATTTGAAGTCATAAATTTATAATATCTACAGAAATGTATATTAAAAAAATTTGTTGTAGAGGGGGGCGAATAATTAAGAAAAACAATCAAGTCTCAAGAACAGAGGAGTATTTATATTTAAAAATTTCTATTTGTTTTTGTCTTATCCAATGTTTAGATTCAAATTTTATGAGCTAAGGTCTTCAAAGAAAATTTGAAATAGAGAAGTTACAATTAACGGTTTTAGACTATAACATTGTTTTTTTATCACTTTCATTTATTGTTACTAAATAAGTTGTAGATTTTTTCTATGAATTATATACAGAGCATTAAAATAATAAATTTTTATTTAAGTATAGTTAGACTTGTAATCCGATAAGAAATTTATCCGCGGCTGCGTTTTACTTTAAAATCAGCAAACTGTGGTGCGCCACAATTTCTTAACTTGAAAAAGTGTTTTCTATAATTTTCTTATTCGTTTTAAAAAAGATTGAATTTATTTGAAATTTAAATATTAGAAATTCAAATTTTATAAATTATAATTATCATGTAAATCAATTACAAATTTTATTTAATTTGAAGAGAATAACATGAATTTTCACTTGAGTTAAAGTGAGTCCAGATACTGAAAATACACGTTAACTGGAAGTGATTATAGCTGTGATACATAATATTTCTAGGTAAAATTGAAAGTTTTGAAAGTTATGTTTAACATCACCTATGTTCTAGTTGATTCAAGATATCTTTTTCTTAGTCTGACGATTGGATGAATCTTTATGCGCTAATCTTTATATATATTATTTGATTTGAATGAACAACTTTCTTGCAGTTTACTATTTCTTGGAGAATCTTCAAAATTATCTAATATAATATATAAAAAACAAGATTATTTATATAATATACCTGAAGATTAGTAATTGGTAATAGAGATCTGCAAAAGTAGGCTCGGTCCGAGCCCGGGGCCTAACTTTAAAAAATATTGATTTCGGGCCTGGTGGGGCTAAAAAAAATCGGACCGGGTCGGACCTTGAAATATATTTAGATTTATCAATTTTATATTGAATTTTTTATGTAAAATAGAAATATTTGATTTTATTTATAGAACTAGACCCCATATAACATATGTCTTTTATTTTGAGTAATTATGAAAATTAATTTACATATTTAAATAAAATAGGGCCGAGCCGGCAAAACTTTTTTAAAAAAAATTTCGGAGGCCGGGCCGGGCTTGAAAAATTAGGCCTGATGCAGATCACTAATTGGAAATCTATAATATTGTAAACGTTACTTCAAAAAATAAACGAGTTATACGTTAAAAAAGGAGCACATTACCGTTACTCGTTACCTTGGGAGAAAAAGCATTACTTGAAAAATGAAATATTATATATAAAGATTTCCTATATATAATATAAATAAAATACAAAAATGTTATATTATATGATGAGATCTTTATTTTCCTATATATAATATAAATAAAATTATATAAAAATAATATATTATAAGAAAAGATATTTTAATAATTTTATTAATTTTTAACAATTGCTTTTCAAAATTTTGATCAGATAAACAAGAAAGTGCTCAACACATCTTTTGCCGTGATAAACACTCATCAACTGGTGTAGAGGATGGGAGGGTTGTATTATATTTAATAAACAAAAATTTTAATTGGGGGAATTTATTAAATATTAAAGAATAATCCTTATTTTGAAAAAAGGCTTTCCGATCCTCATCAAAATTTTTTAAATATTTATCAGAAAATAAATTGGTATGTGTGTTGTTTTTTAAAGGAATCAAAGTCTGCTTTTTCTTGGTCAAGATATTTTCTCAAATGGAAATAAGTTCAAGCTTTCGACCTTCGTTAACCTATAATTTTATCCAGGGCTATAATTTAAATAGTGGGTGAATTATTGCTGATAGTATATATTCATCCTTATAGATGTGTTCGAATTTATTGAAAATTAAAATAATCGAAATATAAATTGTAAACAATATTTCAATTGTATACCTTTTATCTATGTCTTGCAGGATTGCATTAATAAGTGGCTTACAAAACTTGAAATTATTTAAAGCAATTTTTTTAAGTTTTAATATTATAAATAGTTAGCGTGGGAGTAGATACCCCAAATATTCTAAAATCGAAAGAGCCGTAGAAATAGGTTCCATAATATATAAATAATATATATACATATCATATTTTTAAATTAACACTATCATTGGCGTATGCAGTGGGGTGGGGGGGGGGGGGGCAGGGGGACAAATCCCCCCCCCCAAAGCCAAAAAATGCAGATGCCGGATATATTTTTCAAAAATATTATTGTTTATATTAATTTATATTTGTTAATATTTATTCCTATCTCATATATATATTTGAGTTAGAAGAGCCGATTATTAATTCTATTACTGAAATATCACAATGACCTGAAAGAAATATTTCCTCAGAAGCAAGAAAATTATTGGATTCAATACTTATTCTAAATTTTATTTCTCATTAGAATGTATTATTGAATTATACAACTATATTATGTATTACTTTTCAAAAACATGACATTGACTTGATTAAGAAGATGAGAATAGCGGAGAGCATTTTATCAGAACTCAAGGAAATTAGGGCTAAAGTTGATGAAGAATTTCATATTTTATTGTTGAGTCAAAAGCAGAGCTATACGTGTTTAATATTTGTCTCCCACGACTTATAGCAAGGCAAGCTCATCGTTAAAACATTAATATAGGATCAGTAGAAGAGTATATCTTAAATACAGATACATTTATAACCCAAATAAATGAATTTTTAATTCATCATGCAGCACTTACAAATCTGCAAATATTAATTCCACAAAAGTCTTCCCAACCTTTTTCAGATGGTGATGGAAAAAAAATATTTGTTAGATTTTTATTATGAAGTTGTTAAAGTATCTTATGATGCCTTACTAGCTGAATAACTATGTTTATAAGATTAACTATGGTTGATATAGTCCCAAAATGCTATGGATGCTCTGCATTATTTCAAACACATTTAGATTAAATTCCCAATGTATTAAAAGGGTTTACAAACTCTTCCCATTAGTAAACTAATGAGAGAACATTCTCTTTTTTAAGAAGAATAACAGAGGCCTGCAGAAGTACCATTTGCAGGGCACGGTCCGGATTTTTTTTAAAAATTTTTTACGGCCTGGCCTGGGTTTTTTTTTAAAAATTTTCAGGCCCGGCTCGGATTTTTTTAAAATAAATTTTATTTATTTTTGATTATAGCTAATAATAACGATTTCAAATATAGGCTGTTTTAAAAAATACAGCCCGGATTGGGTGTTTTTTTAAAATAATTCAGGCCCGGCTTGGGTGTTTTTTTTTAAATTTCGGGCCCAGCCCGGGTATATTTAAAAAATTAAAATACTCCCCAGCCGGGGGCCGGGCCTACAGGTCTCTGAAAAACATACCAAGAAGTACAACATCTGAAAGTAGATGGAAAGGTTTGAATATTCATAGGCATTTGACGACAAGCAAGGATGAGATAATTGAAAAATTAGCTCAATCACAACGAAGATTGGATTTTACATTTTAAATATATAACATACAAAATGCAATTATTCCTAAGAAATTTTTTGTGTAAAGGCTCAAAAAAATCAAATTTCTATTTTGGGTCATTTAAGTGATTCTTTACATATAATTTTTTTATAATTCACATAAATTTAAAATTGTGTATTAGAAATAGTTATTAGTCCTAATAAATTTATGCTTGATATTTTAAAAAACAATAATATTTCTTAAAAAAATTTATTATCCCCCCCCAGACCAAATTCCTGCGTACGCGCCTGAACACTAGCCATACAATATTCACCTAGCACTTGTCATTATTTGAAAATCTCTGCAATTCTGATTTATCACAAGATTCGTCAAATTGGTTATTCTCTTTATCTTGTTTGTTTGTATTCTAAAGGGTAATTCAGTCGTCACAGAGAAATTAATTATACAGTCGAATAAATAGTTTTGCTAAATATCCAAATGGAACCCATTTACTTATCCCTGTCCTGTAACAAAAGACCAGATGACCTTACAAATATCCCTTCGTTTAGAGGAAACCCTTTTATTTGGGATTTCATCTGTGTCTTTTAACCCAAACATTAACCCTATTATAACAGAAAGTCAAAAGGTTAAAAATCAAAAGTACTAAGATTTTTATTTTGCCAATAGCCATTTTTACCTACATGTTCTGAGGCCAAATGAGGATCGTGGATCCTCTTTTCAAATTTTTGATCAACTCAAATAGTTGCATTCCAAGGCAACTATCTCATTGATGGTTTTCTTTTAGTTTAAATTCATTTTTTCCGTCTTATTAGTTTTTATATGGGTTTTTAATGTAATATACTTTTTATATATGTTGTTTTGAGAGTATACATGTTATTTTTAATAATTACTATACAATAATAGCGAAATTGAATTCTCTCACTCCTTGCCGATAATTGTTAAATTTGGTCACTTGGCAGGCAAAAAAAAGGAAGTGGAATGGGGCGGTGGTCCATAGATTTATTTATTTAAGTTTCATTCTATCACGACGATATTTTCCTTCATTTTATTATGTCTAATCGAATGTAATATTTGTATCGAGGTCTTAATCTAAATATTCTTGTTACACCTTTTTTTCCGTTTTCCATCTACCAGCAAGGCTTCTACATTTTTCCCCCGATATTTCCTCACTTTTTAAAAAGTAATTCTTTATATACCTCAATCTATAAAAATGATCATTTCCATTATTTTTCAAGCCATAATAAGATTAGTTTTATTTTTAAGGGGCCGACTTGATGATTTTTCTTATAATCTTCGCCGATGTCTAGGATCAATGCGCGGCAAATAAAACTTGTGACAAAAATTATTATAAATATATATTATATTTATTATTAAAACATTATTTATTTTTATCGATTTTTAAAATAAAATATAAAATTTATTTTTATTATTAAAAAATTCTTTAAATTTTTCGTTGTGAAACTTAATTAAATCTTTTATAGATCCATTTAAAATGATTTTATAAATATTCACATCATATTAATGTCTATGTAACACAAGTTATTAGGTATGTAATTCTATAAATTCTTTTTTGAAAAACCACTTTTTATTCGATAAAACAAATTTTATTATTTTTATATTACAAAATTACCTAAGTTACCCACTAATATTGAAAGACGTTTATTTATTTTTTCTAAAAAAGTTTAGTATTTATATAATTTTTAATTGTCATTTGAAGCTGGAAAATTTCGCCTAATACTCACACCCGCCTGAGTTTGAACATTCTGATATTAGTGGATTATTTTAAAACTCTAAGTTATTAAACCCCTGATGATTGGAAGTTTTACTCGAAAAGGGTAGTAGGATATTGATTATCATTGATGCTTATTTGCGAATATTAGCAAAATTAGTCTCAATTGTTATTTTTACAATTTATTTAACAATTTATAAAAGTCGTCGCAACTATATTCTCCTTTTTGTTATATGAATGTTGAAATCATTTTTAATTTAACTCTAGTAGAATACAAAAAATTTAAGTTTTATAAATTAATCCTTTTTTTAATCTTATATTAATTAATAACGACAATATTATTGCATCAAATTAACATTGGTTATAATAATAATAATATTATGAAATTTGAGCTTTTTATAATTACCCTTGAAACTTTTAATTTTATAAAAGCACTCCAATTTTCTCCTTTAATCGTTATTATCAAATTGTATTATATGATTTTTATTAGATCCAAAATAAAATAAGGAAGTTGATTTAAAACATTATATCTAGAGTATATATATTCTTTTATTCTCGAGAATAATCCATTAACTAAGATACTTAAATATTTATCATTTAATTTAGTTAATTTTTATTTTCTAAATAAAAATAAGAGAAAATTAATCGGAAAAAAATATTATAAAAAAGGATCAAAATAATTGAAAAATTAAATTTATAGGCTATAAATTTCATGAACCTGATAAAGATAGTACTCTTAGGAGCTCCGGGTGTAGGAAAAAGTGCGTTGGTCGAAAGGTTTACGTCAGGGGAATTTACAGGGGTCTACAAACCAACTCTTTGCAAAGAGACTTATTACGTTACAATGATAGTCAATGATAGGGCTTACCACTTGCGCATAAACGACCTACCCTCCATTCCCAATTTTCCCAGTGATTCTTTGGATGAATGGACACATTACCGGCACTACGGTCTATTGACTGCTGACGCCTATCTCATGGTCTTTGATATTAACTCCTTAGATACCTTTAGATATATCAGATCTGTAAGGGACAAAATAGTCCGTGTACGAGCAAATTTGGGAAAATCATTCAATCAATTGGGCGATCATCGGGAACTTAACAATCTAGCTCAAAATCTAACCCTCACTTATAAACCCAATAATAGTAAGTGTTTCAAAGACGTTCTCAAAACTTCACACACTGCGCCTAAATATGCTGGAATGGACATAAATAGAGTATCTTCGTCCTCCTTTCTGGTGCCAAATATTTTAAATTCATCAGGAACCACTTGCAGTCATTCTTTTACCCTTCCTGAAGATATAAATAGTCATCAAAAAGCTCTGGAATATTCTAATAGTTCTCTGAAATCCTCAGGTTTAAAAAGTTCTAGAAAATGGTTTTTTAATGATCATCACTTGAAAAATAATATTTTAATCGGAAAAAAATCGAAGTCAATAAAACCATATAAAAAATCTTTCGAGTTACTTAATTTAAAGGATATTCAAGTGGAAAACGATAAAACAAATTTAAGTCATAAGAAGTTAACTCGTATAAAAAGAAACAAACAACAAAATGCTGATAAAGTTAACGAAATACCTCCCAGAAATAATACGTTGTCGCCTATATATTCACCATCCATAAATGTGCTGCATGATAATATTGAAGGTATAAATAATGAAGCAACATTTAATATTGACGATATAAAAAATTTAGCGAAGCCTTGTTCCGAAAGTTATAATATTCTCATTCCAAAATCTAATAACAATTGTTTAAATTATAAATCTAACGCAAAAAGTAATGCATTAACCCTATTCTCTTCAAACTTAAATCTAAATGATAACAATTTGTCATTTTCTTCCAAAAAGTTTTCCAATATTTTGAATTTAGGAAACGTCAACACTCAGAATAATAATGCAAATTCAAATCATGTGCAAGTAAATCGAAATTTCTCTATAACATCTCATTCTTCCAAATATCATTGCAACAAATTTGCCATAGTTATAGTGGCAAATAAAACTGATTTGCTCACTGAGGATATCTCAAAAACACAGTCTCAAGGTTCTCCCACTTATAAAAAACAGGATTTTCAATTTGATCATGAAAGAGGCCAAGATGTTCCTACAGCCATTTTGACACCTTTAAAACATTTCTATGTGGTACCTTTAGTCAAACCTGTTTTAGACCTTCAAAGGTCGAAGGACAAACATGACGAAGTTTCAAATATGATTCAAAAGGACTATTTGGATCAATATACAATCGGGAATTTTGGTCATTCAGCCAACATCACCAAACAGCGTAAAGCTGCCAGAAAAGCGGTTGCACATTTAGTTAGGAAAACATGGAAATATTCTTATGTTGAACAATGTTCAGCTAAGAAAGACTGGCAAATTTCGGCCATCTTTGCTGAAATATTGAAATCTGTGATTAAAGTTGGAGCAGCCGGGGCACCTGATATTGCCACCGATCCAACTGATATCTTATTGTTAACCACTCCATCTCTCCCTAACGCTCTCTCTCCAACTGTCGCTAATATAGGTACATTGAACTTTTTAACATTCAATATAATTTTTATAGACAATATTAGAGAAAAATTGTATAAATTTTTATATTAAGAAATTATGAATCGGAATATAAACATCTTCGATTTGATAATGCAAATGAGCTTTTAACCTCTATAAAAAGATATAAGGCGCCGGGGTAGGATGGTAAATATTTTGCTATTTTGTGACAAAATTTTTATGTTTATGATTACAAAATCAGAATTTATTATCGATGGTAATGTAGGCCTTAATTGGAAATTATAGCATTTTACTCCATTCCCCAGGGTTGGGCAAAAAATTTATAAATCGCTTTACGGTGTAGATAACATTACATTACATAACTCTCTTGTGCTACTTTTATCTTGAAAATGTAACGAAGAGTTTTGTAACCTGATTTGTGTGTGTAACATAACTTAACCATTTTTCGTTAGTTAAAAAAAGTACATTAATATTTAAGATAATATTTTAAATAAAAATAAATGAAATAGGAGTCCAATGGAAAGATTTTAATATAATTTTATCTTTAAATAGACTTGAAAATAGGTGTGATCAAATATTTAGCTTCAACTTGTCAGAAGCAGAGTTGTTAAAGTAGCGCGCTATCTTTTTTGGTAGCGATAGCTAATTGCATGCTACTTTTTCCCAAATTATTAATAAAAATATAATGAATATAACTTATAAGTATGAAAATTTAAATATAATATAATTAATTATAATTTTTATGATTTATTACTTATTTTGAAATTGAAATTAATATTTTCAATTTGTATTATAAACCTAAATCATCTCATCTGGTGTAAATTATTCAAAATGTCTTCGAAAATGAATATCGAAATCGATGTAAATGAGTCAGACAATTATAATATTAATGAAGTGGAAGGTACCTTGGAAGAAATGTTCTTGATAACAATAATACACATTTCCATTTCCCAAAATATTTTCAAATTAATGTAAAAACAAAAGTTGGCTACAAATTTATTTGTTTAAAATGTAAAAAAAAATATATCCTCAAATAAATCTAGTGGCTATAACTTCAAAAAAGACCTAAGGTAATTGTCATTTTTGAATTATAATAGTATTTATTTTATAAAAATGTTCATGCCAAAAAACATCGTAATAATTTTAATTTAGGGGAAACTACATCCAAAATCAATTCAATTCAAGCTAAATTGATTAATAATATTGCACATGCCAATTTCTCAGATATTGGCTGATATAGTTATTGACGATTTTGTAATTGATACAACTCACCCACTGTCCTTGGTTGATAATCCATCATTGATCATGATGATTTAAGCTCTATTCCCTGGTACAACAATTTTATGTCACCAGACACTAGATTGAGATAGCAGATAACTTTGAAGTGATGAAAGATGTTCTAATAACAGAGTTGTCAGAGATATCCTATATATGTACCACGGCAGGTATTTGGACACAACAGAAGGTAACTTATTTACATTTATAAATTGATCTGATATTAATATTTTTAGAGCTTATTTGAGAATCACAGGTCATTGGCTAGACCCTAAGACTTTAAAAAGGAGATCTGTAGCATTAGCTGTCTCAAAAGGATATAGGATGCCAGACATAGGATGTACTTGCAAATAAATTTTATCATTCATCCCAATTTTAAATTAAACTGGTCATATATCATTTCGATGATGCTAAAGATCAACGTGATAGGCTCATGGTAAAGCTGAATAGTCTCATACCAAACAGATGCCCTAGTTACAACCATAAAAACGACTTTCACTGATAATATTTTTGAAATAAAGGATACTACAATAATAGAGACACGTTTAATAAATCTAAAAATACTCAAATGAGTATTTTATAATTTCTTATATTAAAAATATGTATATAAAATTAAATACTGCCTTGCCCTCAAGTGCTAGTGTATGAGAGACTATTTAGTTAGGCGAAACTTATACTTTCTAATTGTCGCTCTAGACTTGGGAATGATAGTGTATAAATAATTTTTATATTAAAATGCAGCAAAATAAATAAAAAAATGAATATTACCATGATGAATAATGAATAGATATTTTTATTACAATATAGTCTTTTAACATAAATTTTTTTATTATCAAAACTAACTATATTTAAATATTTATAAATGTTGATTTTTATGTATTATATACTATACAATTTTATATTATAAGCAAAAAATAAAACAAATTTATTTCTAATTTTTTTTTATAAAAAGTTGTCTAAATAGTAGCCAAAGCTACTTTTAAAAAATAGTAGTTAAAAAATAGTAGCTTAGCGCGCTACTTTTTATATGGGTAGCGATAGCAATAGCGCGCTACTTTTAAAAGTAGGGTTTAACAACTCTGGTCAGAAGCTAGTATAGCGTTCTTAGCTCCATCTGTTTAATATATTACGCTGTAGATTATTATCTTCGATAAAAAAAATACAATACCCTTTAATGTAAGCTGCAGTAACTTTGAAGGTAAGATCTCCTATACCGAATTTTAGGTTTAGCCCCCAAGATAACCCGGTAAAAGTAATTTCTTTTCTATTTCCTTGGTGTTGAAGCAATTAGAATGACGTTAAAATTTAAGTAATCTCATATCTTACTACTCATCCTTTGAAATAGATATACGGTAACTCACTGAATCACGGGGAAATTTTTAATATTATTTTTTTTTTATTTATTTATTTTTAATTTTTTTTTAATATATTTATTTTTTTTTAATATTTTTTTAAAAAAAATAATAAATATAAGATCGTCTGGATTTTGGTAGAAATTTTTTGATTTAATAATAATTCAAAGTTGATTACACAAATCTTAAAATTTAATATTTTTTCAAGTTTATAATAATCTTAATGAAAATTGATATGATCATTACTAGGTCAAGAAACTTTATAGACCATACCGACCCATACTCAACGTATTGAGCGTTTTTAGAGGGATCTTAAGGTAAGCATCCCCAGAAATGGAAGAAAATCTTCCTTTCATTTATATATATGTAAATATTCCTATTTTCGTAATATTAGAAATATGTCAAATTTGAATAAATTAATTATATTTTTAAAATATAAATTTATATAGAACTATTTTTGTTTTTCCTTAAAAATATATATCTATATTATCATTGTTTATTTTTATAGTCAAAACAATAGATTCTTTATTATAAAATTGTTTCCTATATATAGTCTTTTATAATTATGTCATTTAACTACTACTAATATGCAATTACATTGACCTTCATAAGATAATATAAAATGTAAGAAATATATAATTCAAATAGCGTAACCTTTTAAAATATATATAAACATTCAAATATTTTTGTTGGCTTTCGTTCCCTTGTTGGATAACGCGGTTGCCTTCCTTTTTGACTTGGTTCAATTGGTATTATTGATTTGGTTTCGTCTGGTTCTTCCCTTATTCGTAGTTGATCTGCGTGTTTTCGTACTATTTTATCTTTTTCTTCTACGTTATACGAGAATTTTGCTTGTTGATTTATTCTTTTTCCTTCATGCCATCCTTTTTCAAGTGGATTTTTTATCCAAACTAATTCTTTTCCAAAATCTATGTATGCCTTTGTTTAACTGATCGTGTTTTACTACAGAGGTTTCTAATTTTTCAGTAATTGATGGTTTCACCCAGTCTAATAAAGTATTTAGTCTTCTCCCCATAAATAGTTTGGCAGGTATTCGGCCCGTTGAGGAATGTTCGGAATTTCTATATGTAACTAATACTTCATTAAGGCATTTTTCCCCATCATTTGATTGTTCTCTATTAGCAAAGTACTGATTTTTTATAGTTTGTATGCATCTTTCAACTAATCCGTTACTTCTCGGATGGTATGGTGTAGTTTTTATGTGTTGTATATTCTTATTTTTGCACCATTTGTAAAATTCATTTGATATGAATTGTGGACCATTGTCTGTGACAATTTGACGTGGAACACCATATTGTGTTAGCCATTTTTCTAATCTATTTATTAAATTTTTACTTGTGGTATCTTTGATTCTATCGATCTCTATCCATTTTGAATATGCATCGATTCCTACCAGCCAATAAAATCCGTCTAGTGGTCCGGCAAAATCTAAATGTACCCTTTCCCAGGGTTGTGCTGGCGGATTCCATGGGTATACGACAACTTCTGGTATATCTCTGCGATGTTTTTGACACCCGATACAGCGGTTGACTAATTTTTCGACATCTTTATCTAATTTTTCCCACCATATATAATGTCTCATAATGGATTTCATCGATGTAATACCAAGATGACCTGTATGTAATATCTGTAAAACTCGTTTTTGTAGTGAATATGGAATTATTAAGCGACCATTCCAAAATAGGATACCGTCATCATTTTCTATTTCATTTATTCTTGTTCTAAAAGCTTGTAATTCTGGTGCTTGATTTTGTATTTTTATACCATTTAATAATATTTTTACTCTTCTTAAAATTGGATCTTTCGCAGTTTCATCTCTAAGTTCTTTTCTTGATAAAGTTAATGTGTCATAAGTAAGATTTCGAATATATTTCACTGTTTTATTTTCACTTGTTATTTTATTATCATTTTTCTCTATTGGGTTTCGCGATAAAGCATCTGCAATTATATTAGTTGCGCCATTCTTATACATTATTTCATAATCATATGCTGATAATTTATAAGCCCAACGTAACAATCTTTGGTTTGTTAAAGCGTTTAAATCTCTGTTATCCCCATATATTTTTATTAAAGGTTTATTTCGTATTTTAAATTTTCGTCCATACAAATAGTTATGAAATTTTTCTACGCCGTTTACTATAGCTTTGGCTTCTTTGTCGATTGTTGAATAATTCTTTTCAGCATCTTGTAAAGTTCTCGATTTGTAAGCTATATAGTATTCATTACCATTATCATATTTTTGCAGGAGTACAGCTCCAAATCCTTGGTTTGATGCATCTGTTTCTAGTATTAACTCAAGATCCGGTTTATAAAATTGTATAGTATTGTGTTCTGTTACTATTCCTTTTGCTTTTTCAAATAATGCATCATCTTTTTTAGTCCAATTCCATTTAACATTTTTACTAGTTTTATTATTTAATTGGCTATGATTCCATGTAAGTTTGGTATGAACCGTGTATAATAGTTTAATATACCTAAAAATGATTTTATGTCATGTCTATCTTTTGGCGTTGGATATTTTTGTATTGCTATTATTTTATTTTTATCCAGGTGTATTCCAGTATCCTAAATATGATACTTTTTCTTTCATAAAATTTATTTTGCTTGTTTTGACTTTTAATCCCGCATTTTGTAATTTTTTAAGGACATGTTTTATATTCTCAATAGTTCAGTATCATTATTTCCTGTGATTATAATATCATCTAAATAAACTGCTGTATCTTTACAATCAGCCAGTAAATCGTCCATATATCGTTGAAATATTATTGGTGCTGTAGCTATACCAAAAGGTAATCGTAAATAGCGGTAGTATCCATTTGGTGTTACCAATGTTAATAATTCTTGCGATTCATCGTCAATGCTCATTTGTAGGTATGCATCTTTGAGATCTAATGTTGTATATTTATTTCCATTCGCTATTTTTGCTATTAATTCTTCAAACGTTGGTAGAATGTGATAGTCTTTTAGTAGAAATTTATTTAACGGTACTTTAAAATCTCCACATAATCGTAGTTCGCTTGAAGTTTTACGTACCACTACCATTGGAGTACTCCAGGTTACTCTTGTTGTTGATGGATCTATTTTCTTGATTATATTATTTTTTCCCAAACGCTTCAGTTCATTTTCGATTTCTACTTTTAAAGGCAACGGTCTGGCAGTGCAATTGGTTTTGTATTTTCTTCCAATTGTAGTTTTACTGGTTCGACATTTTTTATTAATCCTAATTTATTATCAAACACCGTAGCAAATTCTTTATTTATATAGTTTGTCAATATTTACGTTACCTATCATTGTATTTATATCTATTGTTGATCATATTGATTTTTACATTTTTTGGTAACGCTTAATCAAATTCGATAATCCATGGAAATTATAATAGAGCTGCATCATTTGTTTGTGTGACTAATAATGGAAGCCATTTTATGTTATTATTTAATTGTACTTTTAAATCAGCTTCGCCCATAATTTCTATTCTATTATTTCCATATGTAGTTGAGCCCTTCTAAGTTTTGGCCTTCCGATTTTATTCCATATTATTTCATTAATAATGGTTACTGCCGAGCCAGTATCATATTCCATTTTAATTTTTTGGTTGTTTATTAATACCTCAATTGTTGGATGTTGCCCATATTTGTATATTTTTCTTATTGAGACATCCGAATCGTCTTCTTTATTATTGTAATTTGTTCCGTAAATCTTTTCTTTAGCTTTACAACATACGGCGAAGTGGTTTGGTTTCCTACATTTACTGCACAATTTTCCGTAGGCGGGACAATTTCTAATAGCATGAAACCGATCACAGAAATAGCATGGTTTTCTCCAATTACTATTATTATTGGTATGGTAGTTATTATACCCGGGCACTAGTTCTCTTTTTACATATGCTTTATTATCATTTTAGGTGCCGTTTATCATTATCATAATTATTATACTGCCGATTATTTTTATCATGTTGATTTATCCGATTATTATTATCATGTTTATTCGGCTCTTTGATTTTATATACCATTTTAGCAGTATTAAGTCGGCTCATTCCATCGCTAAAGCCAATTCTACCACTTTGTTTAAGCTTAACGGTTGGTCTTCGTCTTTAGTATCTGGATATCTTAATCGTAGTTCTTTATCCAGTTGTGACATCTTTAGTCCGGTGATTAATTGATCTCGAATTCTCAGTTCTACATTGTCTTCAAATTCGCATCTTCGGGCTAGCTCCTTTATATTTTTTAAATAGCTCATTACGGATTCAGTAGCCCCGCGAGTTAATCTAATGAAATCAATTCTTGATGCCAAATAGTTCTTTCATCTTTATATAGTTGTTTTGCTATTTTATATATGTCAATCCATCCTACCTCCTCTATATTCCTAGGATAGAGTAATTTTTTGATATCAGTTATAATGTTTCCATAAGCTATAAATAATTTTTTTAAAGTGGCTTCAGTTTGAGGAATATTTTTCACATTTAGTATATATTAGATATAATCAACGTAGTCCTCGATAGAACAATCTTCCTTTTTAAAGTCCTGGAGAATAATTTTATCCATAATTTCTAAATATATATAATAATTTTTTTTTAAACAGAAATTTTTTTTATAATTCTATATATTATTAAACTTGACCGAAGAGCGAAAACCGCGCGACTTAAATTTTTTTTTTATCTCGTCGCCATTTTTTATAGTCAAAACAATAGATTCTTTATTATAAAATTGTTTCCTATATATAGTCTTTTATAATTATGTCATTTAACTACTACTAATATGCAATTACATTGACCTCCATAAGATAATATAAAATGTAAGAAATATATAATTCAAATAGAGTAACCTTTTAAAATATATATAAACATTCAAATATAACAATTATGTTTATTCAAATAAATTGATTAATTATCTAGTATTTGATTTAATAGTAAATTGTAATAATTATGAAAATTTTCACAAATAAAATACTCCGTTTTTTTAAATTCTTAAATATACTCTGTTTTTTTGAATTCTTAAATATAATCCGTTTTTTTTAATTATTAAATATACTCCGTTTTTTTAAATTCTTAAATATACTTCGTTTGTTAAAATTTTTAAATACAGTCCTTTTTTTAAATTTTTAAATACTTTTTTATTGTAAAAATACACCAAAATTCAATTTGAATATACTCAATTTTTAAACTTTAAAATTTACTCCGTTTTTATTGTAAAATTACACCAAGAAAATATTCAAACGATCTTATATTTATTATTTTTTATAAAAATAATTTGTTTTTTAATATTTAAAAAAATATTATAAAAAAATAAATAAATATATTAAAAATTTCCCCGTGATTCAGTGAGTTTACCCAATATACCTGTAAATATCCAAAATCAAAGAAATGTAATATTCTCATTTGCAAATTAAATTAACGATCAGGAAACAATAATGATGTTTTATTTGATAAATTAGTCTATTATCAAATGCTTAAAATAACAATCTTTTTAATTGTTATTATAATAAATTAAACGATAAGATATTAATAAACTAGTTTCCATTATTTTAGACTTTATAGAGAAATAAATCAATAAATTTTCATATTTTCAATTAGAGATTTTGTAACATTAACACGTTTTAAACAACGGAACGTAACTTTACTAGGAGGCAATGGTAATTTAACCGTTATTCATCATTATATATTATAATATTTAAACTCGAATTCCAAAATAATTTTATTCAGGTCGGGCTGGAAAAATTTGTGCTTTGGGAGGGTTTGTACAGAGAAATTTTTTTATTCAAGAAGTCTTATTCGGGCCGCAAAAAAATACTTTGTAGGACTCTACTCACTACATAAAGCATATGGAAAAAAATAAAATAATAATTAATTAAAATAAATGGAACTAATCAGTATCTTCCGAAGGTGAAGACCACGAATCTTTAAATATAAATAACAGAGAATCTTGATACTATTTTTTTAAGTCCAGTAAAAAAAGAAGCTCACAGGGTTCTTTTGGTGTTTATGATTTTTTTTTTCCTTTTTAAGTAGCAAAGAAAATCTATAATTGCAATAATATATTCCCTTAATTAGTAATAACCTGCTATGATATTTAGAATTTAACACTTATTTAATATATTTTTAGCTTAAGAGTTGTTTTTTAATAACTTCACACATATTTTATGAGCAGAACATTTATTTTAAAATTTTCCATTTTACCCCATGATGCTTAATCTCTAAATCACTAGAATAAATGATTCTAGCACATCTTCCACTTATGATTGAACCCCGGAACATATTTAATATAATACTCCAAGAATCTATTATATGAATTATGAAAAACTGAATAATTAATTTTTCTTACTAGCAAATGATCAAATTAAAAAGGTATAGACTAAAATGAGTTGTTGGATAAGATTAGCCAAATGTGATTTGCCAACTTATAAATAAATTAATGCTGGAATTTACATTTTATTTCAAAAGTTTAACTTTTTTACCCAGATTAACATCCACTGTGTAATTTAAATTTAGGCAAATAAGGAAAATCAATTGGTATTACATATTATTATTTAAATTTTTCATTTATATATACTATAAAGGTAATAAAGAATTGAATTTTAACTCTTTAAAGTTTATGTGTAAAGTCAAATCCCCAAGATTTAATTCATTAACATCATTAGGTCATCGGTTGAACAAGGCTTCTTTTGTTGGATAAAAAGAATAATGATAATTCATCATCCTTGTAAACATTGAAATATATTATATCCATTTATATGAGTATTAATATTATATATTTAATTTATAATATTTTATAAAATATACACAAAAATGAAAATACAAGTTATATAAATATATTTTATGAAAGCTAAATTGGATATCATTTTATTTTTTTTGGAATATTATACATATATGTAGAAAGCTACCACCTCCCTCCTCCCATGATACAGGTACAAAGTATTAATTAAATAAAATTCGAAATAAGATATATTTTCAATATTGTCCTCCTATTTGTAAAAAAAAGAGATAAACGTATGAATATAATTTCAACTTCATTAGTAAATCAATAATAACGTTAAGGTTAGAAATATCATTTGCAATAATATTAAATAATATATTTTTATTTTATAACTTGATTTTTAAACTCATTCTCTAATATTTAAGTTTTTTTTTTATATAAAAGATATCATTAAAATATAACCTATAATTAGTAGAATAAATAAGATATAGAAATTATTAATACAATCGGAAAATTAACCCATCATTAAACAAATTTATAATAGGTCATATCTAGGAATTTTTTTTTAGATGCGGTTGAGTCAGGTTTGGAAATTTCTTGTTATTTGAATTTAATCAGCCACGATTATATTATTTTACACTTTTGTTCATTTTATATTATTTCTTATACATATATATTAAAAAATAAAATTCGGGTAATTTTTTTAAAATCTTCTGATTTTCAAATTGAATTGGTAGGGATTATGGAATTAATTTCATATACGGGTTGGGTTCGGTCAGAAATTTTTGTTTAAAAAAATTTTCAAGTTGAGATAAAGCTTTTCTTCTAGCGAGTCAAGTCAGGTTGGTCGAAATAATTTGTCTTTGGAGGTCTCTAGTCATTAGCGTATTAAAAACCTAAAAATAAATTATGACCAATAATGGATTGTATACAGTAAATTAATATATAATATAATATAAATTGGTTTCGAGTTATATGTGACGTCGTAAGAGAGGAAAAAAACTAGTGTTCAGCAAACCGAGATTAAATTTATGTCCCCTTAAGATACTGACTAAAAAGTTTCATTGACTATGCCTGAAACTAATTTAGCGATACCAATGGTTATATATTAAATTGATATAAATCAGTGGCGTCGCTAGCTCTTTTCAACTTGAAGAGCACAATTTTTAAAACTGTCCTAAATTAGCAAATAAGAGTTAATTAATTGCAAAAAATTATATCTAAAAAATAAATTTTTAGGGAACCTTATATATTTTCAGGATAGCTTGGTCCTCTTCTTATAACGATCACTGATATAAATGCCTTTTTTCATTATATTTGATGGGAAAAGGTCTATGTTTAATAATACAATTAATAATTTTTTTAGCTTGTGATCACATAATGAACTTATTTTAGAAATCTTCATTAAATGTGTCATTTTGGTTAACTCCGATTTTTTATTTATAATCTTGAGTTAGTATAATATATTAAATATAGAAGAATTTATCATAGTTATAGTTTAAGATTATTATATTGATCGGTATCTTCGTTTAAATAATCAATATTAATAAATAATATATATTATAAAGTTAATAATATGGTAACATAATAAATAACATTATCTACATATTATTTTAATGTTCAAGTAATTATTATAATCCAGGAAACTGGAAAGTAACCTTTCGGAACATTGGGAACGGAATTCTTAATATATTTATGGAATATGAATGGAACCCCAAAACATTTCCTGAATGTTCCGAAAAATAATATGAAAATTTTAATTTAATTATAGTCATAAATATTCATTTTGCATTTTTTAATTGCATTTTACTTCACAAAACAATATTATTAGTATTATATTATATCTATCTATTTATATGTGATTATGATTATAAAACTTTTTTTCAAATCAAATTTAGAATATTTTATCTTATGTTATAAAACTAATAATGAATGTTTTAATTTTCTTTAAACAATTCTGTTACCAAGTTGGTTTTGAAGGATTTTTTTAATAGATTTATAATAACATGCCGTAGGAATATAAATATTAATCTTTTAGAGAATATATCATTTATTAAATCTTAGATGTAATAATTTTTGTATTACACAAATGAATGAATAAAATTAGTAATTTTTTTAGGGAACCCATTCTGGAACCTGAAGAAACTTGGAACGAAACGAGAATGGAATATATTTTTTTGGACAAAATGGGAATGGAACAGGAATTAAACAGGACCGCTATACCTTTGGTTCTGGTCCGTTATAATTATATTTTATGAATTTTTGTGGAATGTGATTAAATGAATTAAGGAACAAGTGTTTTATTTTATTAGATATAGTAAAGAATCAAACTTAAATTAATTATTGGACCTACCAAATAAACTGAATTAGATTTATTTAAAACATAATACCTTTCCTTTATAATCCCTATAATTTATAGAGACATTTTGTTACTCTGAAAAAGTAACAATGTTAAATTTTGACCTGTGCTGTAAAAAATAATAACGGAGTTACGCTTATATACCTTTTTTTAATGTAACGCGATTATTTCGTTACTATGTATACAAATAATAAAATTAAAAATAGAAATATTTGTACTTAAAAAATTGTATTGCTAATTGGTAAAGCAATTAACAATAATCAATCAAAATTTAATTATATAATATTTTTTTTTAAATAATTTTCAGAAACATTCTTTTTTATATACATAAATCTATTTTTTTATTAAATAAAAAATTGAGATTAAATATCAAATATTTTATAATTCTAATATTATTGGGAAAAAATATATTTACTAGTTTATTACAACTCCAGGGTGGCCTAATGGGTTAGATGTATGCTTAGAAACAGAAGGACGAAGAAGGACACAGGTTCAATCCTGGTAAGGAGCATAAAAACTTTCAAGTTTTTCTTCGATGACTGATGTTAAAGACATATGGTAAGATGAATTTCGGAGCTTAGAGATGACGCCCCGGTCACCGACAGGCCTGGACAGCCAGGTGCTAAGGATACCTGCCCAATAAACAAAATGAAGGAAACAAATGCAAATATGAATATGATAGCTAGGGCGTTCCCTCCAAGCGACGGTCAGGGTGTAGACCTCAGTGGCGTAGCTACGGGGGTGGTTTTCGGGTTTGGACCCCTCCCAGAGCAAATTTTTTAGATTATACGTTCAAAAGACTTAAAATTGACTTTATATCAAATAAATACCATTAATATTTATATTTTTTGGTTTTGATGTTTGTGAAAGGATAATATATTACTATTGAAATTATTCTGGGTAGTATTATTATAAAGTCATTGAGAATAATCTACTAAATTATAAAAACATATTATTGATGCATTTAAAAAATATATTTATTATATATTATCGAAGATATGGTTATGATTTTTAAGATAAACCCGGCCGAAGGCCGGACAAAAGGGCCGAAGGCCCGTTAAAGGGGTCTGGGAGGTGAAGCCCCCCCCCCCAGGATTTTATATGTATGGACCCCCTCTAAGGAAAATTTCTAGCTACGCCACTGGTAGACCTCCATCCTGTGAAAAGTAAAGTAAAGGTCAAAGCAAAGAAGACAAGATTAGCAAGTTTGAATATTGGGACGCTTAAAGGTAAGACGAGAGAATTGGCACTAATGTTGAATAAGGGAAAAGTTGATATAGCGTGAATACAAGAGACGAAATGGAAAGATCAGAAGGCTTTAATAATTGGAGATGGGTATAAATTGTACTATAATAGAATTGTTAGCAATAGGAACGGTGTCGGCATCATCCTCAATCAAGATCTAACCTCAGTAGTAGAAGTCAACAGGATTTCTGATAGACTAATGAAGATAAAACTCTGCATTGGTCAATCAATACTACACATCCTTTCAGTATATGCTCCTCAAACGGGTTGCAAGGAAGAAGAGAAAGATGACTTTAGAGCTATCCTTGATGTAGCTGTAATGGAAATCCCTAAGGATGACATAGTTGGTGATGACTCAAATGCGCATGTGGGGAAAGCAAGAGATAGCTACAAAAGGCATCATGGTGGTTTTGGATATGGAGAAAGAAATGATGAAGGAGAGCATGTACTGAAATCGCAAGCCTTCGACCTTGCCTTAACCAACACCTACTATAGGGAAAAAGACAGTCATCTAATAACATATGAAAGTGGTACAAGGAAAACACAGATAGATTACATGCTAATCTCTCTCAGAAGATTAAAAGATGTAATAGACTGCAAAGTCATCCCAGGAGAAGATATCGCTTCGCAACTCAAGCTACAAGTCATGAATTTACACATCTCAAATAAATCCACTCAAAACAAGATAAAACTGGAACCATGCATTAAATGGGGCAAATTAAAAACAATGACAGATGCCTTTGCAATCAATGCAAACATTGAAACAATAGATTCCTCACAAGTCAGTGAAAAAATGTGGACAGACCTTTCATACAGATTCATAGACACTGCCAAATTGACACTAGGCTTGACAAGGGGAGGCAACAAATCACACATAGAACTATAGTGGTGGAATGAAGAGGTACAAACCACTATAAAGGAGAAAAAGCCCTATATAAAATATGGTACAAATCCCAAAACCCAGATGACAAGACAAATTACAAAAAATCCAAGAGAATATAGCTATAAAGGCGGTGGCTAGGGCCAAAGCTATGGCATACGATGACATGTATGAAGAACTACATACCAAAGATGGGCAAAATAAAATATACAGATTAGCCAAACAACGAGAAAAGAATTATAGGGATATAAACGGAGCTCCGAAAGTAATCAAGAATAAAAATGGGAAATTGATAATAAAGGAAAAAGAAATAATGAATAGATGGAAAGAATATTTTCAGGAGATTCTCAACTTTAATCCCCACATACTACATCTAGACGAACACTCCCCATGTCAAAACCTTGTACAACCTATAACAGAACAAGAAATAATCAAATGCCTCAAGCATATGAAAAACAACAAAGCTAGGGATCCAAACGATATTCCAATAGAAAG